GGGAGAAAGTAGACATCGTATGCCTGTTGCGCCGGATCAAAAGCTATGGAACCCAGCGAACGCGATTGGATCGCAGACACGAAGACGAGTTGAAGATAGCACAAACAGACACTACCGTGACATAAATGTGAAGAGACTGAACGAACTGCGCGAAATGTTACTCACCACGAAGGTGTCGTTGAAGGATGCGAAGATGTGTGCGACGCCGAAGACGATCTCGCCCTCTCGCACCTGCGGGCCAGCAGGACCCTTCTCCTCCTTCACTTCTTTCACCTTCTTCTTGGAAGACTGCGGGGAGGGAGGAGGAAACAGGATTCAGAGAACCGGCTGAGGTGGAGACCATGCAAAAAAAAAAAAAAACATGCTCCTCCTTCGCAACTTTCACTTTGATCGTCAACCGCTGAGGGGCACGAGACAAGGATGATTCCAACTCATCGAAACGCTATGAGACGAGTCGAGCCGTTATGAAACGAGACGAGACAAGTGAGAGTATTGGACTCGACGACAGGACGGGGACGAAGAAAGTCAGAGAGGCAACAGGACGAGATGAGAAGGGGGGAACGGCGGAGGGGAGAGCAGCGTGGAAGGCGCGCGGGTGGAAGCGGGGGACAGAGGAGGATGACGGGAAGAGGGTTTAACGAGAGAGAACGACGTAGATACTGACAAACTAACGAGACATGTGACTTAGCAGTCCAGCCCGTGAAATGCCGACAATCAAGCACATGGAAGTTCCGGATCGCACTACTATCGAAATGCCACACGAACTAGCCCCCTCAATGAGTAAATTCAGCTAAGAAAGGGATTTAAACTCTAGAGAAGAAACGCGCAACCACAGCTAGCCAGAGACAGACTAGTCCTTAAGGAATCAGCGCACGTGCTCCGGAACCCTCGCACTACGACCGCCTTCCGGCAAACTCGGCCAATGAACGCATTTGTGGGAAGGGGAACGGCCATATCTCACTTACTGAGCCTTCCCATACCCACCGAACGAGCCCCTACCACCCGCTACACGGTGCGAGGAATACGACGGCCAATTCATAGCCTCCCTGACAAAAACCCTCACATCCAACACTGATCCACACAGAACACCCCGCACGACCACCGCAAACAATAATTCCATTCCCCAACGCACGCACAGTGAGGCACACGAGCTAAACGGGAAAGGATCAAGAGGACTTGCCATGGCTGTGTTTGTTGGAAGCTGAGCGGAAAGGCCGCTGGGAAACCCTAACGACTGGAGAGAGAGAGGAGAGGGGAAAGGAGCCGAGGAAGAAAGAGGCCGCGGAGAAGAAGCAAGGAGAGACAAACCAGCAATTCCTAAGCGAACCAAAACCGTTGGTGGCGAAAACTTTGCACTGCTCCAAAACTTCGTGAATATCAAGTAACAGAATCTGAACAATTCGCGGTGAAGTCTCGCAGGGGCTCAGGTGTTTGGGTTTGAATTTGACGTTCAACGTTGAATGGAACGTTTGCCGTCAACCTGCCGTCAGATGAGATGCCCTTGCGCTGCCAGATAAGGCTGCCGTGGCATGCGCCTTTTCGGTCATTGCGAGGAGCCCACGAACCTCATTCAAGAAACTGCATTAGAGCACTGATACACTCCGAATTCTCCGCAGAAGCTCAGGTCTGGGATGCACATGTGCTACCTGGGGGATAGATAGAATATCAGATAACTACAATAATGTAGTACTGCAATTTTAGTGGAACTGAGCTTCAGAGGCTTTCTGCACGTATTGGGAAGTACTTGCCATCCCACATTGTGCGCAGCAGAGATGGTTGGTCAAATCACAATAGGGTATCCCAAATGGGAAACAAATTTCATTGGTGCGCACATATCATTCAACTTTCATGTAAACTACCGGTATGGCCCCGGATAGAAGCGCAGGCCTATGTTAAGCGCATGCGCTTGTATCTGGAGCAATGCGCTTATGGCCGATCCTCAATTATAAGCGCACCCCTTTGGAATTCTTGACTTATTATAAGCGCACTCGTTTAGTTAAAAAAAAAAAAGAATTTCATTTTTTTTAACCTACCTAGCCTACATGTTCTAAACTTTCCATTAAGAATGACTATCACATACAAGGGTGGTCTCTGCTGTCCTGCACTACACCTTTCAACCTGCCTAGTCTACCCTACTGCCTTTTCTTCCTCCTCGTCCGACTCAGGCTCCGTGGAGTTGTTGCCCCAGAACCCATCTGCCTGGATGTCGTCGTCCACCTCCACCTCATGGGACAACTGGCACCTTCGGTGCGCTAGCACCAGTTTGTCTTCGCTCCCATCAAGGGCGTTGCTGATGCCGCAAGTGAGGAAGGCTTTCTTGATGAGGTCGGCGGGCACCGCCTTCCAGGCCCGTGAAATCCACTTGAGCACCACCTCCGGAGGTGGTTTCTTGATGTTCCCTGCATCACACGGAGTGGGGCGGGGAAAACATGAGACAAGTAAACATGCATTCAAGCTCAAGATTTGCAGACGGGAGCACATGCCGTCACTCACCTGCCGGGGTCAGGATGTTCATGCCGTCCTCCTCAAACCAATTTTGGTACTGCTGACGAATGCTTGCTTTGAAGCTTTTGTTGATCGACACATCGAGGGGCTGCAGGTCTGCCGTGCAACCCGCCGGAATGATAGCAGGCACGATGTTGAGCGCCGCGAATCTCGCCTTGACTTCTGGTGTCAGGTGACCGCGATACGAGTCGAGCACCAGCATGGCGCTACGACTCTGCAGGCCGAATTTCGGCTTCAGGAACGGCACCACGCCCGTGTTGAGCCACTCGATGACGCCTGCGGCCTCCATCCACCCGTTGGCTTGGCAGCCGACCACAACATCTGCACGCAACGAAAAAGAACAGTTAACGACTCAGGTAGTAACGGGAATAAACACGGTGGACGATCACTTACCGTTCGGGAAGTCACCCTTGGGGAGTGTCTTGCGCTTGAAAAACACCCACGGCTTCAGCTTCTCGCCCGTCGCCGTGCACGCAAGCATGACGGTCACTCTCTCCTTCTGGTACCCACCGCTGCGAATGGGCACCGACCTCACGCCCGTCTGCTCCACGGTGGTCGTCGCCGGCATCTCTAACCACAGCGGTGTCTGGTCGGCGTTGATGATGTAGCGGTTGTCAATGTCGTATTCGTGACGGGCGTCACGTACGTACTGCCAAAAATCATTGCACTGCTCAGCCACGTCTGCAGAACAGGGAGAAAGGTACATACAGTAAACCAAATTAGTATGACGCATAGGAGACATGCGAAAAAAACTAAGCGCAATCGGGTACCCACCAAAATCAGCAGTAAACGACCCACTTACGCTCCTGTGTTTTCTGTGCCACCTTTGTTTTCATGCGCACGCTGAGGTTCCACCGCCTGCGGAACCGCTCCGTCCACCGCTGACTGGCTTTCCACTTGACGTCCGGGTATAGAACCTTCATCACTTCTTTGGACCACTCTTGCAGCCGGCCGACCGAAACCGCAACTCCGCGGCGTCGCCAGTCGAGGAGTTGCGCGTACACCTTTAACTCCATGGGGCGGTACCAAGACGACCTCCCGCGCCCGTGAAGTCGCATCCGTGCTCCGTGTGCAGCCTTGAGCGCATCCGCTTGGGCTTTCCATTCTGTCAGACATTTTCGGTGAATGCCTGACTCCCGCGCCACTTCGCTCACCGAAGCCGCAAGCTCGAGCCGCACGAGCCACCTCAACTTCTCCTGGGCGGTGTAGGACTGCCGCTTATGTTGATTCAGCTTGTGCCTGGGGGAGGGGGGGCGGGCATCTCGATTCTCGGTAGACGGGTGGGGGCGTTTTTTATTAAGGGGCGGATATGTCGGTACCGGCATCTTCGCGCGTGGTGCGTCGCGCCACCAGGACTCCACACCGTCCTCGTCCTCGTCACGGTCGGGGAACACGTCTTCCTCGTCGCCCGCTGCACCGTCGCCACCAGCTTCACCGTCGCCTCCAGCTTCGCCGGCGCCGCTGTCATGTTTATCGGTAGCCACATCATCGTCGGCGCCCACAGCCGACTCATCCCACGCGCAGGATTCTGGTTGTCCCCACCGTGGTGCAGTCGCTGGAGCTTGGATGCGTGCATCGCGGGCCTTCGGTGTGTCCGCTTCAGCCAACCATTCGTCGAACGTGGCTGGTAAATACAGTTGGAGCACGGGCCGTTGGTGAGCACCTGCCGTGGCAAAAGCAGGCGGATTCGGAGGAGCGGGAGGTGCGGGAGGAGCGGGTGGAGCAGGGGGTGCAGGGGGAGCAGGAGGAGCAGGGGGTGCAGGGGGATCCGGTGGCACTGGAGGCGCTGGTGGCTCACGGGTATACCACCCGTCTTCGGTAAGTCGCCATGTGCGGCGTGGCTTTTTCTTGAAGAGGATGCTCGTCCCACTAAATTCCGCCATGGCTTCGCCTGCCAGGCGGGGTTGACAAGGAACTGAATGAAAAAATCAGAGAAGAGGGTGAAGAAATGGGCAACGACGGTGACCCCTGCTGTGTGACGGCTCGGGTTCCTCGTCGATGACAGGCAGGAAACCCCCGCCCACTCCCGTAGAGGCGCCTGCGTGGCAGCATCTACGCTGCGCTGGCAGAGAATCTTGCCGAACCTTCGAGATGGTTCTGCCCGAATGCACATGCCTCGCAGCGCATGCGGCTCTGATTGGGCCGCACGACAACATCATCGTCACGGCTGTCACATTCTATGTTTCCAGACAACATTGTGCGGTGGTAAACCGAACCGCTGCGGTTTCTGCCTGAAAACCATGCACGATCCCACTTGGTGCATGGTCGGTTGAATTCGCCTTATTGAGAGCTTCACAATGGTGTGTTCAAAATTGATTTTCATTTTTCCCTTTATACAAGCGCATGCGCTTATAAATCTGACTCAATTATAAGCGCACCCCCCCAAAAAACAATGTTTTATTATAAGCGCAGGTGCGCTTCTATCCGGGGTATTACGGTATATGCATGCATCAACATGTCAAAAATAGCCGACAATGCACCAAACAAAAACTATTTCACTTCTTTTTGCCAGTTGTGGCAGCAGGAGCGGGCGGCGCATCACTCTTATCGTCAGCCAGGTTCAGCAGCAGCGAATCAGAGGAGAGGAAGACGCGGTTGCTGCTATTGGCCAGAGTGTTGGCAATCTCCCTGGCCGCCTCAATCTTCCTCAGAGTGATGAAGGAGGGGTTGTTGGCAATGGCCTCTCCTATCAGCTGCGCACTCGTGGCCTCTCCCTGTTGAGCAATAGCGAGGAGGGGCGGGGAAAATGAGGTGACTTCTGAGTCGACTCAAAAGTGATGGCCTCTCCTATCAGCTGTGCACTCGTGGCCTCTCCCTGGTGTGTGGTAGCGAGGAGGGGCGGGGAAAAACACGGGAGGATAGGAAGGAGAGAGAAGGGCACAGGAACGTGTGGTGATCAATACGGAGTTGTTCGCAAGAGAGTGGGGGGAGGGGAGAGAAGGGGAGGATGGGAGAGTGGATCGGTTTTTGAGGCGCCTCAAAAGTCGGCTTTTGAGGCGCCTCAGGAACATGTGGTGATGAAAGAGGAGTTGCTGGCGAAAGAGTGGGAGGAGGGGAGAGAAGGGGAGGATGGGAGGGTGAATCAGGAGGCATAGTGATGGAGGCATAGTGATGGAGGCATAGTGATGGAGGCATGGTGATGGAGGCATAGTGATGGAGGCATAGTGATGGAGGCATAGTGATGGAGGCATAGTGATGGAGGCATAGTGATGGAGGCATGGTGATGGAGGCATAGTGATGGAGGCATAGTGATGGAGGCATAGTGATGGAGGCATAGTGATGGAGGCATGGTGATGGAGGCATAGTGATGGAGGCATAGTGATGGAGGCATAGTGATGGAGGCATAGTGATGGAGGCATAGTGATGGAGGCATGGTGATGGAGGCATAGTGATGGAGGCATAGTGATGGAGGCATAGTGATGGAGGCATAGTGATGGATCATGGAGGCATAGTGATGGAGGCATAGTGATGGAGGCATAGTGATGGAGGCATAGAGATGGAGGCATAGTGATGGAGGCATAGTGATGGAGGCATAGTGATGGAGGCATAGTGATGGAGGCATGGTGATGGAGGCATAGTGATGGAGGCATAGTGATGGAGGCATAGTGATGGAGGCATAGTGATGGAGGCATGGTGATGGAGGCATGGTGATGGAGGCATAGTGATGGAGGCATAGTGATGGAGGCATAGTGATGGAGGCATAGTGATGGAGGCATGGTGATGGAGGCATAGTGATGGAGGCATAGTGATGGAGGCATAGTGATGGAGGCATAGTGATGGAGGCATAGTGATGGAGGCATAGTGATGGAGGCATAGTGATGGAGGCATAGTGATGGAGGCATAGTGATGGAGGCATAGTGATGGAGGCATAGTGATGGAGGCATAGTGATGGAGGCATAGTGATGGAGGCATGGCTTTCTTTGACCTGTGATGGCACAGGCATGAATGAAGTGCGGGTACGGCCATTGCCTGGCTTTCTTCGAATTGGCACAGGCATGAATGAAGTGCGGGTACGGCCATTGCCTGGCTTTCTTCGAATTGGCACAGGCATGAATGAAGTGCGGGTACGGCCATTGCCTGGCTTTCTTTGAATTGGCACAGGCATGAATGAAGTGCGGGTGGGTGGCAATGGCCTCTCCTATCAGCTGTGCCAATGAAAGCCTTTTTCTTCCATTCAAGGGGCCTCAGTAGCCCTCAAAAGCTAATGAGGGCCTCAGTAGCCCTCAAAAGCTAATGAGGGCCTCAGTAGCCCTCAAAAGCTAATGAGGGCCTCAGTAGCCCTCAAAAGCTAATGAGGGCCTCAGTAGCCCTCAAAAGCTAATGAGGGCCTCAGTAGCTTTTCCACCTCGCATGAACTACAGGTGGCAGTGGCAAGGGCCTCTCCTGCCAGCTGCGGTTATTAGTAAACAGGTGGGCTGCGGAGGTACCTCCGCACCTCGCATGAACTACAGGTGGCAGTGGCAATGGCCTCTCCTGCCAGCTGCGGTTATTAGTAAACAGGTGGGCTGCGGAGGTACCTCCGCACCTCGCATGAACTACAGGTGGCAGTGGCAATGGCCTCTCCTGTCAGCTGCGCGCATGAGGGTACTTTTGAGGCGTTTTTGAGGCGACTCTCCTGTCAGCTGCAAAAAGTCGTTTTAGAGGCGCCTCAGAGGTGGCAGGGGCAACGGCCTCTTCCAAAGGAGAGGCCCTTGCCACTGCCAGCAAGCGCCCTTTGTGCCCTTGCAAAAACTTGTGAGGTGCCTCACAATTGCCAATCACGCGGGTAGAGAGACGGCTACCCGTGAACTTCCAAGGGGGCTCAATAAGTGCCCTTTTGCACTTGAAAAGAACCCTCTTGAAAGGAACTTACAGTGAACCGACCACTCCCCTCACCTGCGCTCGGATAATAGCTCCCCGCTTGTCCTGCTCGGCCTTCTGCACCACGAACTTGGCACGCTCTGCCTCCTGTGCCGCCACCTGCTTGGCCTCGATGGCTGCTGTGAACTCGCGGCCGAACGTGAGGTTGGTGATCGACACGTCATCAAGCGCAATGTTGAAGGACGCTGCTCTGTCCTCCAGGATACGGCGGATCTCCCGACTCACAGACTGGGGGGACAGGGGGAGAGGGGAGCGTGAGGTTGGTGATGGAGACATCATCAAGCGATGCTGAAGGATGCTGCTCTGTCTTCCATGTACTGGCTGCTCTGTGAGTCGCGAGAATTCGGCGAATCTCGCGACTCACAGATTGGATAAGAGAGAGGGGGAGGGGGAGGGGGAGGGGGAGGGGGAGGGGGAGGGGGAGGGGGGGGGTTTAAGGGGTGAATGAGAAAGTGAGGAGTGAACTCGCACCCGAATGTGAGGTTGGTGATCTACTCTACTCGATGGACAAACGTGTCGAACGTGCCCGTCCATCGGCACTGCCTCCTCCCCCGTGTCCCTCCCCTGCTTCCCTTCCCTCAACCCACCAACGCTACCCAGGAGGATCATTCCCCAGCGAGACAGACTTCCCCACTCTCTTCCCTTGCAATCTTCTGAGGCGCCTCAAATACCCTCAACCCACCAACGCTACCCAGGAGGATCCTTCCCCAGCGAGACAGACTTCCCCACTCTCTTCCCTTGCAATCTTCTGAGGCGCCTCAAATACCCTCAACCCACCAACGCTACCCAGGAGGATCCTTCCCCAGCGAGACAGACTTCCCCACTCTCTTCCCTTGCAATCCCATACATCTCGCTGGGTGATGAGCTGGCTGGCATTATCCGCGGATTTCAACTCAACGTCTCCTGCACAATCGACGGAGACATCCTGTGTGCTGTGCTTCCCATAACTCGTCCCAGCTTTCCCAACCCTTATCCTAACACAACCCAACAACCCCATACCTCTCGCTGTGTGATGAGCTGGCTCGCATTATACCGAGCCACCACGAATTTCAGAGTCTCCTGCACGATGGACGGCTGCACCCCCTCGGCATAGTCCTGGCCCGCTCAGTACCGCTCTGTACTGCTCAGTACCGCTCAGTGCAAGCACGCACCTCTCGCTGTGTGATGAGCTGGCTGGCGTTATACTGAGCCACCACGGATTTCTCGGCAACGCCCTCTGCTCCTCCATTTCTACCCCAACCCACCGACGCTACCCCCCAACCCCATACCTCTCGCTGCGTGATGAGCTGGCTGGCGTTATACTGAGCCACCACGGATTTCAGAGTCTCTTGGACAATCGACGGCAGCACCCTCTCAGCATAGTCCTGCCCCAGCGTGCGGTAGATGGTGGGTAGGCGGTCGGACATGGGGCGAGTGAGCACTCGCAGGGTGATTCGAACCTGAGAGGGAAGGGTGGAGGAGAGACAGAGGTCGGCAGAGGAAAGAGGGTCTGGGAGAGAGAGAAAGCAGCAGCACCGGCTCGACATAGTCCTGCCCCAGCGTGCGGTAGATGGTGGGTAGGCCGTCGGACATGGGGCGAGTGAGCACTCGCAGGGTGATTCGAACCTGAGAGGGAAGGGCAGGCAGGGGAGCGACGGGCACAGGGCAGAGAGGGGTAAGGGAAGAAAGGAGGAGACCACAGCACCCGCTCTGCTTAGTCCTGCCCCAACGTGCTGCAGATGGTGGGGAGGGTCGGTCCGACATGGGGCGAGTGAGCACTCGCAGGGTGATTCGGACCTGAGAGGAAAGGGTGGAGAGAGGGAAGGGTGGAGAGAGGACAGAGGTCCGAAGTGGGAAAGGGGAGTGGGAAAGGGGAGTGGGAAAGGGGAGTGGGAAAGGGGAGTGGGAAAGGGGAGTGGGGAAGGGGAGTGGGAAAGGGGAGTGGGAAAGGGGAGTGGGAAAGGGGAGTGGGAAAGGGGAGTGGGAAAGGGGAGTGGGGAAGGGGAGTGGGAAAGGGGAGTGGGAAAGGGGAGTGGGAAAGGGGAGTGGGAAAGGGGAGTGGGAAAGGGGAGTGGGAAAGGGGAGTGGGAAAGGGGAGTGGGAAAGGGGAGTGGGAAAGGGGAGTGGGAAAGGGGAGTGGGTAAGGGGAGTGGGAAAGGGGAGTGGGAAAGGGGAGTGGGGAAGGGTAGTGGGAACATGAAGCACCGGCTCGGCATAGCCCTGCCCCAAGGTGCGGTAAATGGTGGGTAGGCGGTCGGACATGGGGCGAGTGCGCACACGCAGGGTGATTCGGACCTGAGAGAGGGGCAGGGGAGAGTAGGGCAGGAAAGAGAAGGGCAGGAAAGAGAAGGGCAGGAAAGAGAAGGGCAGGAAAGAGTAGGGCAGGAAAGAGAAGGGCAGGGAAGAGTAGGGGAGGAAAAAGCAGGGCAGGGAGGGGGGTGGAGGAACCACACAGGTCAGAACCGCAAAAGCATCCGCTCTGCATAGTCCTGCCTTAGCCTGCGGTAGATGGTGGGGAGACGGTCCCACATGGGGCGAGTTTTGAGGCGCCTCAAAACTCGCAGCAAAGAATCAAGCTGACGTAGCAACATACATTAACATAATAAGAATCTTTAGCTGAGCACTAATACCACCTGTCTGCACCCAGCAAGCTGCCACCTGGCACCCACGCCGCCCGCAAAACGCGGCTGATCGCCAGCTAAACGACAAACCCAGTACACAGGACAAAGGAGGCCCACCATCTGCAAATCGCGGCTGCCGGACGTGCTCTCCACGAGATGGGGTCGCGCGCGCACGTCGTAGATAATGGGCCACTCAATACCGGGGATGATGAAATGCGTCCCCTCCTGGTATACCTGTGGGATCGGATACGTTGGTATGGGGATATCCAAATGGCGCAAATAGAGTGAAAGGTTGAGAAAACAGGAGGGAGTGAGGGAGTGAGTGAAGGAGGGAGTGAGGGAGTGAGTGAAGGAGGGAGTGAGGGGGGGAGGAGAGGAGAGGAGGGAGGGAGAGGGGGAGGAGAAGAGTGGGGGGGCGATGACAAGCCTAGTACACCCAAATTTGCAGGTTGCTTTTGGTTTAAAAGCCAAGGAGTGAGCGCGGGAAAGGGGGGAAAGGTGGGGAGAACGCGGGGATAGGGGGAGAAGAGGGGGGAAGTGAATGAAGAAGAACGGGGAAGCGGGAGGAAAGAGGGGAGGAGTGGGGGAGCGGAGGGTGTGTGGGAGGGGGAAAAGGGGGGTTCGAAGGATGGGATACATCCAGACCAACGCTGGGCATGCGCAGTGATGGCGGGAACGGGCGCAAAGGGGAGGGCGGGGGGAGGACAGCGCGTAGAGGAAGCCTGAGACCTTACGTCCGAAAGAACCCAACGAGACTGCTTATAACGGGAACACTCAGATCAAACCCGATGGATGGACGACCTAACTTCAAGGACAATCATGGATTGCGCCTTACCGTCCAGCACCGCACTGAACAGATTCACCACGAAACCCACCGTGTCTTTGATCCCAGATAGCCGGTTGAAGATAATCGCGCGATGACCTCCCTCCACGTTGTACAGACTGTGCACCGCACCGTACAGCACCGCACCGCCTACCACTGCAGCGCGCAGTACCGATCCGATCGCGCCGCCCGCTCCGGGCGGCACCTTCATATTCTTCATCGCCCCGAGATTCATGGCGCCTAGAGAATAGAATCTAAAAGATCCGATAGCAAATCGACCAGCGGATCTAAAGATTCGGAGGCTCCTTGACTAATGAATTGGCGGCTCGAACAGTCGCGAATTCGGCTAGCGAATTCGCGGATCCTGGTCCCTGAGGGAGGAAGGGGAGCCGTGTAGTAAACGATGGGCGAAAGAGCTTAACACTGCGAGTGCGACCGGCGAACGAGTCTCTGAACGAGTTGCGACGCAAGAGGCGAAATGTAACGGCGGGCGAACGAGCAGATCGAGCTGGGGCGAAGAGGTTCGACAGCGTGGGGCTCGAGCTGCAACCACAGCTGCGGTTGCGTTTCTGAATCGACGACCCCAAAGTTACAGCTGCGATTACGATTTAGGGTTAGGATCCTCGCGGTGGCAAGTTAACCAAGCTCCCCACCTAAAAACTAAAGGATCCGACACCGGCGCTCAGAAGACAGAAGCGAGCCGAAAAAGAAGCCCCGGAGCTATGGCTGCAGGAAGAAACTGGTGCCTCGAGCTCTCTTTTCTGAAGCCTTCGACATAGATGGTCAAGGAAAGCTCCAGAAGCACCAGCTATTATGTAGACGAATCGCACTTTCTCGTACGAAATCGCATTCAACCGTATTAAAATGTTTATTTTGGCACCCGCGTTTGGCCTACGCATCGTGTTTTTTCAAATGGAACGCAAAGTTTAAAAACCGAGGTTGAGTCATCCACACGGAAGACTCGCTATTGTGCTTCACTTAGTGCAATATGAACAAGCTTGTACGTGCAGAAAGAAGCCATATCAGCACCAAGTAAATTTTGTACCCTACCTCGTCTAAATCAGACTGATTGCAGTCTAACGTCACCCATAAGCCTCAACACATAAGATCACTAACGGCAACTAGACTCTCCCGTCCAGTAGAGACAGGTTCTCAAAATGTACGACTCCATGGATTTTACGACATTTAGGCATGGGCCCACACTGCTCTCATTCCGTTTTGGCCTTAGGTGCCACGTCAGCAAGGTAGGAGAGAACTTGGTGGCCGGGAATGGCTGTGAGGACAGCGAGGAGAAGGATGAGCTTGAGCGTGGTGAACAGATTCACCTGCAGTGATAGGAGAGTGTATTGAGACAAGCGGAGAAGGGTTATGATAGTTTCAAATGGGGGTTTTAGTGTTCAGTGGCAGAAGCTATGAATGCCAGATTTAACAGTGGAAAAATAGGAAGCCAAGGCGAATGCAAGCTGATACAGTAAGCAGCAGACTAAGGTACTCCACCTGAATTTCCAGACGAGAACATGCAACACATGCACACGTCTACCCACCTGCACCCAGAAAGCAACGTAGAGCAGCAGGAGCGCAGCGATTCCCCCGTGGAAGGCCAGAGCTGAGAGGAGAGGCACACCCCCAGAGGGGAAGGCCTTGAGGTTCACTCCTAGCACCGCCAGCTGTGCGGTGGGAAAAGGTGGAAGGCGGTGGAGAGAGGAGCGGAGAGGGATGGGAAGCAGGGAGGCAGGGATGCGAGGGCGGATTATCCTGTTTGCTGAGTGAAGGAGAAGTGGAGAACGAGGAGCAGTGCCACAGAAAACGAGAGTGGAGTACAGCTTGAGATAAGGGGAAAGGTGGACGACAGGGTAAGAAAAAGGTGTGTGCTGAGCTAAGCGCCAAGAGAGAGCAGCAGCGTTGTGGCAGCTACAATCGAGGCAGTAAAATTGGTGAACACCAGGCACAAAAAGTGAAACCCCACACACACCACAGATAACCCCACAAACACATATCCTCACATCAAATACCCCCGCACTACACAACCCCGTACCACACATATCCCCAAACCACACAACTCCACACCACACGTACCCCCACGAGCAGCACCACCAGCGGCAGCAGCACGAGCGCCACAAACGAGTATGAGACGACAAACGCCGGCCGGGAATCCGGCTTGCGGAAGATATGTGCGATCTCGGGCTTGGCAGAGAATCTCTCAGCCAGAGACTCGGGGCGGGCGGGCAGCTTGGGGGCAGTCTCTGGGGCAGCAGGCAGGTCAAGGTCCACAGAGCCCAGCTGCCAGTCGAATGCGTTGTCCATGACTGCATCGCCCACGATCAGTTTCAGCGTGTACTCGCCCGAGTGGTAGAAGAGGCGGTCCATCATCTCCAGCAGCTCCTGTTGGGGTGGGTGGGGAGCGGTGAAAAGCGGTGGAGTGAGTAGAGGAGGGTGGGGGCAGCAGGCAGGTCAAGGTCAACAGAGCCCAGCTGCCAGTCAAATGCGTTGTCCATGACTTGGTCTCCGATGATGAGCTTGAGCGTGTACTAGCCCGAGTGGTAGAACAGGCAGTCCATCAGCTCCAGTAGCTCCTGTTTGGACGGGTGGGGAGCGGTGCAAAGGAGTGGGAGGGAGTGAAGAGGGAGCTGCCAGTCAAATGCGTTGTCCATGACTTAATCGCCGATCATGAGCTTGAGAGTGTACTCGCACGAGTGGTAGAAGAGACGGTCCATCATCTCCAGCAGCTCCTGTTCGCATGGGCGGGGAGCGGTGAAAAGCAGTGGAGAGAGTAGTTTGAAGCGGTGCAAAGGAGTGGAATGACTTGGTCGTCCAAAACGAGCTTGAGAGTGTACTCGCCCGAGTGGTAGAAGAGCCGCACCGCTCCATCAGCTCCAGAGGCTCCTGTTGGCGCAGATGGGAGGGGATAGAAAGTGGCTCAAGGGAGTGGGAGGGAGTGAGGAAGGAGTGCAAAGAAGGGGGAGCAAGCGAGTAGGGGGGGGTGATGGCAGAAGGGTGAAGTGTAGAAAGGGCGAGTGATACCTGATACTACCAGAGCATAGGACAGGCAGGCCAGCAGGGCAGTGGGCAGGCCAGCAGGGTAGTAGCTGGAAAGGCTGCACTCACGAGCTGAACTGAGAGGGTGCTGCCGGATAACTTGAGCACTGAGGTGATTTTTGAGGCACCTAAAACTCACCTCAGTAGCAGGAAAGGCCGCACTCGCGAGCCGCACAGACTTTTGAGGCGCCTCAAAAGTCTAAAACTCACCTCAGTAGCAGGAAAGGCCGCACTCGCGAGCCGCACAGAAAGAGTGCACTCACGAGCTGAACTGAGAGGGTGCTGCCGGACGGCTTGAGCAGGAAGGAGTAGGCCATGCCGATGCTGTTCACCAGCTGCAGCACGGCCTGAAGGGCATTAGGGGGTGTGGAGAAAAAAAGGGAGGGAGGGAAGCGGGGCAAGGCGAGAGGAGATGGGGTGTTAATAGCAGTCCTGTGACAGAGTTAATGATCTCCTGCTCTCCTAAAGTAGTTGCTGGGGTGGGGCGTTTCCATGATGAGAAAACTCTTCTTTTCCTTCTTTTCCCTGAAAAAGAAGGAATGTTCCAGGGTGCCCCTTACCTGGTGCAAGACAAAGACTTTCCCTAAAGACCTTCTTGTGGCCTCCTAAACCCTCAGCACCGTTTCCTAGCCTCAATAAAGAGATTCAAACCCTTCTCTGCCGTGCTCCCTGCCCCGTACCTGGTGGGGAATGAAGGCCTTCCCCGAGGGTGTGGCGAGGGAGAGCGACACACGCAGCTTCTGCAGGTGGGTGGCAGACAGGTCGGTGAAGTTTGTCCTCTTCTCAAAGTCCAGCCTGGCGAGAGGAGGGAGGAGAGTGGAGTGGGGAGAGTGGAGAAGGCGAGGAATCAAAGATAACCACCCCACAGGACTGCTTGCCTGCATCATTTTATGCAGCATTGAGGAAGAAAGCAGCGCTCTGACTGACCTCAACACACCACAGCCTATCAGACATGCAACCAATAGCACTCACATTCACCCCACACAGAGAAACAGCCCTGAGTCCCTGACAAAGCCTGGAGGCAAAGAGCAGCGCTCTCCCTGACCTCTCCACACCACATGCTAACAGGCATGCACCCGATAGTACTCACACCCACCCACGCCCAGCCCAGGCACTCACTTCTTCTCGGCCTCAAGGGTGGCGCCATTGCTGTCCAGCACAGCCACAGACACGCCAGTGACTGCCATGGGTGCAGTGCTCTTACTGACCGCACCGCACACACCCCCACACAGGACTCAACCCACAAACGAACCACTGCCCAAGACCAGCAGAGGGACTCACTTCTTCTCGCCCTCAGGAGTGGCGCCATCGCTGTCCAGCACAGCCACAGACACGCCCGTGACGGCCATGGACGTGGAGAGCAGCAGAGGGCGCTCCACTGTGGTCCTCCCGCCACACTCCCGCACTCACCTGCGCATAGATACTCACTTCTTCTCGGACTCAGGAGTGGCGCCATCGCTGTCCAGCACGGCAACGGACACGCCAGTGACAGCCATCGAGGCAGAGAGCAGCAGCGGGCGCTCCACTGATGCACTGCCGGCGATGAAGACTGATTCCGCAGGAGGGGTGATCTGGGGGACGAGGGAAGCAGAAAAGGGTGGGGAGGGTGGGAAGGAGAGAAGAAGGCACAGGTGGTTGAGAAGATGCAAGAAGGTGCCATGGACGCAGAGAGCAGCAGAGGGCGCTCCACTGACGCACTGCTGACAATGAAGACTGATTCCGCAGGAGGGGTGATCTGGGGGACGAGGGAAGCGCAAGAGAAGGAGGCGAACAGGGAAGGAGGTGCGGAGCGTGGGGAGGGTGGGGAAGGTGGGAAGGAGAGAAACAGGCACAGGTGGTTCGGAGTTTCTGCTAATCCACAGCAGGGAGAGCAGCAGAGGAGCGCTCCTCCACTGGTGCATTGCCGAAAGGGTCATCGAAGGTGAAGAAAGCAAGGGGTTGGGAAGAGAAAAGGAACAGAACAGGGGAAAGGGGCAGGGGGAGGAGGAGGGGAGAGGCAGGCACAGGGGGGAGGAACAGAGGGAGTAGAAGGAGAGGCCGTCCTTGCCTGCTGCCAGCTCCTTGCCCGAAGCAGCACTGCTGCCCCCAATGGTGGCGCTCTGCAGCTTCACTGCCCCTCTCTCAAATCTCAACCCACCCCATTGAATGCCTTGACTTGCGTTGACCTTGCCCTCACCTTGAACTTGAGAGTGTAGACCCCGAGGGTAGACGCCTTGGAGAAGGGCTTGGCGGAGAAGGAGTCGCCGTCCTTGCCCGCTGTGAGCTCCTTGCCCGAAGCAGCACTGCCGCCCCCAATATTGACTGCCTTGACTTGCCTTGACTTTGCCCTCTCACCTTGAACTTGAGCGTGTAGACTCCCAGAGTAGAGACCTTGGAGAATGGCTTGGCGGAGAAGGAGACGCCGTCCTTGCCTGCTGTGAGCTCCTTGCCCGATGCAGCACTGCCGCCCCCAATATTGACTGCCTTGACTTGCCTTGACTTTGCCCTCTCACCTTGAACTTGAGCGTGTGGACTCCCAGAGTAGAGGCCTTGGAGAAGGGCTTGGCGGAGAAGGAGTCGCCGTCCTTGCCCGCTGTGAGCTCCTTGCCCGAAGCAGCACTGCCGCCCCCAATATTGACTGCCTTGACTTGCCTTGACTTTGCCCTCTCACCTTGAACTTGAGCGTGTAGACTCCCAGAGTAGAGGCCTTGGAGAATGGCTTGGCGGAGAAGGAGACGCCGTCCTTGCCTGCTGTGAGCTCCTTGCCCGATGCAGCACTGCCGCCCCCAATGGTGGCACTCTGCAGCTTCACTGCCACACCTGGCACCTTGCCTCCCAGCGCTGTTGTCACACTCACCTGCAGTCAGATGAGGACGGAGAGGAGGGGGGGAAGAGGGGGGAAGAGGGGGGAAGGAAGAGGGGGGAGGAGGGGGGGGACGGGGGGGTTTGACCACATGAGATTGAACTAGGGATGGAGGGAATAGATAGTGGCACTCTGCAGCTTCACTGCGACGCCTGGCACCTTGCCTCCCAGCGCTGTTGTCACACTCATCTGCAGTCACACAAGGAGGGGAACGGGGGGACGCGGGGGGGTTCGCAGGTGCGGGGGTGCACATTGTGAATCAGCGGGGGATGGAAGGGAGGAGAGGCACTGTGAGGAGTGAAGTGAGCGTGCTTATAAGGGGTGGGAGGACTCTCAGTGAGCGTGCTTATGGCGGGTGGGAGGACTTACAGTGAGTGTGGAGTCTGCTCTGCAGAGATGGAGATGTGGCCGGGAGACGAGAGGAAGATGGGCACAACGGAGAGATGCTGCAGCGGCCGAGGGGAGGGCGGACTCACAGTAACCAAGCGTGCTTATGGGAGGAAGGACGACTTACAGTGAGCGTGGGGTCTGCAGAAATGGAGATGTGGCCGGGAGACGAGAGGAAGATGGGCACAAAGATGCTGCATGGCCAGGGGGAGCAGGTGGAGATGTGGGGGTGGGGAGGGGGGGAAAGGGGGCGGCGGAGTGGGATGGGGGAGGAGATTATGGGAGGTGGACAGGATGAGTGATGAAGCGCGGAAGGAGGATTCAAATGTGAAGAAAGGCATTTCAAGAGGGAAGGAATACAACAGAGGGTGGATAGAAGAAAGGAGGAACAGGAGCGTGAGATAACGAGGAAAGAGAAGGTGCAAAAGAGGGGCAGGGAGTGTGGGATACACGGGAGGAACGAGCAGGGAAGCGTACGCTCCCCCCTTGCCATCAGGAACGAGCAGGGAAGCGTACGCTTCCCCCTTGCCATCAGGAACGAGCAGGGAAGCGTACGCTTCCCCCTTGCCATCAGGAACGAGCAGGGAAGCGTACGCTTCCCCCTTGCCATCAGGAACGAGCAGGGAAGCGTACAGCTCATCAGGGTTCGAGAAACCCCTTGCTCCCTTTCCCCTTCCCACCCACCCCTCTGTTCCTCAACCAGCTCACGGGTTGTTATCAAGCACTGCAAGAGCATTCGCCTCCTTGTTGGGTTGTTATATGAGGCAGCAGTTTCCACCTCACCCACCCTCCCCGTTCTCTCCCCCTCCTCCTTTCCCCCCTTCCTTCTCTCTGTCCCTCATCCAACTCACGGGTTGTTATCAAGCACAGAGAGTGCTTCCGCCCACGCCTTCACCCTCTTTCCTCAGTCTCTCCCCCTCCCCCTCTTCTTCCCCCCTTCTCTCTGTCCCTCATCCAACTCACGGGTTGTTATCAAGCACCGCGAGCGTTTCCGCCCACGCAGCAGCCTCCGTGAGGGAGAGGGGCAGCGCCGCCACCAGATAGCGCCCCGCCTCCCACTCTACCCTTCCTCCTCCCTATCCATCCCCCACCTCCCACAACTCTGTTCCACCACTCACGGGTTGTTATCAAGCACTGCGAGCGCTTCCGCCCAGGCAGCGGCCTCCGCGAGGGAGAGGGGGAGCGCCGCCACCAGATAGCGCCCCGCCTCCGCCAGCTTGGGGGGGCGCACTGGGGAGGCGAGCGTGGAGGCCAGCGCGAGGTAACCCATACCAATCTCGCCCCCTCTCCCCCCTCTTCCCCTTCCCTCTCCTCTCCCTCCCTCCCCGCATTCTCTCCCACTTCTCCCCCTTCTCCCACCCCCCTTAACTCGGTTCATAACCAACTCACGGGTTGTTATCAAGCACTGCGAGCGCTTCCGCCCAGGCAGCCGCCTCCGCCAGTGAAAGGGGCAGCGCCGCCACCAGATAGCGCCCCGCCTCCGCCAGCTTGGGAGGGCGCACGGCGAGAGGGGAGCCGAGGGTGGAGGCGAGCGCGAGGTAGCCCGTGATGGCGGAGGCCGTGGCGACGAGAGTCCCGCCCTCCGAGGGAGAGGCTGAGAAGAATGAAACAGCGTTGCCACTCGGGTCGGCTAGGGGAAGGGGGCCATGGGGACGGGCAGGGGGGGGACGGGACGGGCAGGGAAGGGACGGGGAGGGCGGGCATGGGGCGCACAGGGGGTGGGAGGGGTGAAAAAGAGGCAGGGTGAAGGAAGAGGGGGGAGGCGAGGGTAGAGGCGAGCGCGAGGTAGCCCGTGATGGCGGACGCCGTGGCGACGAGAGTCCCGCCCTCCGCGGGTGACGCTGAGACGGCGTTGCCACTCGGGTCGGCTGCGGGAAGGGCAGACGGGGACGCGCACGGGAGGGACGGGGAGGGCGGGCACGGGGCGCAGGGGGTGGGGAGGGGGTCGAAAGAGAGGCAGGGTGACGGAGAGAGGGGAGGAGAGCGGGGAGGCGAGCGCGAAATAGCCCGTGATGGCGGCGGACGCTGTGGCGACGAGAGTCCCGCCCTCTGCGCTCGAGGCTGAGAAGAAGGAAGCGGCGTTGCCACTAGGGTCCGCTGGACGAGTGGGAAAACCGGGGAAATGAGAGGAGCGGGATGGGGGTTTGAAGGGAGGAAAGGGGGAAGGGAGGGACGAGAGGGGGGCAGGCACGGGGCGCAGGGGGTGGGGCAAAGAGGCAGGGTGAAGGAAGAGAGGGGAGGAGAGCGTGGAGTCGAGGGAAAGGTAGCCCGTGAGGGCAGATGCAGTGGCAAGCGTGGTAAGGGAGAGATCCATATGATAACATAGGCGCTGGGAGAAGAGCTGAGTTAACGCTTGATTCGATTCAACAACAGTGCGCGACAAAGGGCTCAAGTACAACGATTAATGCAGGTGAGATGACGAACGACGAGTACGTTCACAGTGCAAGACGAAGGGCTGTACGACGAGTAAAAAAAGCGTTTCTTACAGTCAGCTGTGAGGAGAGAGAAGAGCGAGCTGACAGCATCTGTAACCGCCGACACCTGCCACATGCAGAGCGACGCAATGCCACGTGGCACATGCACACAATGCACACAGCAGAGCACTGTCGCGTGAACACACAGAGCACTAAAGCATTCACTCACGCAATAACGAGCTAAGAAACTCCATTACTACGATCCAACACCGAGTTTTATCCTGTGCTTGTGGCTTAAACAAAAACAACTCACACTCTTGAGTACCAAGCTGAATCACCTCCCAATCCGAACATCTGCTTCTCACCAACTCGTACCTGCTTCTCGTCCACCAGTCCCAGCTCCTTGAGTGCAGCCCGCGCCTTGAGCACCACGCCCGCAGCAGCACTACCTCTCACTTTCACCTTTCCCATCCCTCACCTAGCTCTCACCCATCCCAGCTCGCACCTGCTTCTCATCCTCCAGCCCCAGCTCCTTGAGCGCAGCCAGTGCCTTGAGAGCCACGCCCGCTGCACCATCTCTAACCTTTCCACACCACTACCAAACCCTCCGACCCATCAAACCTCACCTGCTTCTCATCCACCAGCCCCAGCTCCTTGAGTGCAGCCAGCGCCTCGAGAGCCACGCCCGCAGCAGCCACGGACCCCTGGCCGTCCTTCCCCGTTGCCCACGAGCCATCCGCCTGCTTCAGTGCCTGTTGATGTACAAAATTTTCTTTTACGATTTTAATCTCTCCAAAAAAGGTCGGAACGAATCATGCAGGCGGCAACGAGCATGGGACCAGATGAACAACACAGCCACCCACAATTACACTGGCGACGAACGTAATGCGGGGCTCTGAAGGCAGCAGCGTGGATGAGAGAGAGGCTTACGAGGATAGCAGCAGCAGCCTTCTTGAGGCCTGCAGGCACGGACCCAGTGCTCCACTTGTTGGCCTGGTAGTACCATGAAATTCGGTTGGCGGGAACATTTGTGGAAAAGGAGGGAAGCGAAAAAAGCAATGAGCAATGAGCCATGAGGCGAGGGCGCAAGAGAATGCAGCAACGGGCTTCTTAAGGCCTGAGGAGGACCCCCAGTACTCTACTTGTTCGCCTGGTACCATGTTGTATGAGTTGAGCATCCGTGACTTTTGAGTCGACTCAAACGTCACCTTGGAGGACCCGCAGAACTCTACTTGTTCGCCTGGTACCATGTTGTATGAGTTAAGCGTCCGTGGGGAAGGAGGGAACGGATGGAAGCAATGAGCGCGTAGGGGCGGAATAAGGAGAAAAGAAATGAGACGTGCTCTCCCTCCCCTTCGTCCTCCACACTAAGGGAGAGGGAGGGGAAACCCTGAACAAAAGAGGCACCACTCCCAACAAGTGAGCTCGCTCTCTCTCTCCCTCTCACTCTGACTCTCCTTACGCTAACAGGCATCCACTTCGTCTCACCTTGAGGATCTGGGTGCCGGCTGCAGCGTAAAACAGCTGGTCAAGGGACGGCGAGGATGCAGCTGTCGACAAGAGAGGCTCCAATCCCAGCTCTCTCCCGCTCTCATTATCTTTCCTACCTCTCAAGTATGTCTCCCTGCCTCACCTTGAGGATCTGGGTGCCGGCTGCAGCGTAAAACAGCTGGTCAAGGGACGACGAGGATGCAGCTGTCGACAAGAGAGGCTCCAATCCCAGCTCTCTCCCGCTCTCATTATCTCTTCCTACCTCTCAAGTATGTCTCCCTGCCTCACCTTGAGGATCTGGGTGCCGGCTGCTGCGTAAAACAGCTGGTCAAGGGACGACGAGGATGCTGCTGGAGACAAGAGAGGCTCCGCTTCCTGCCAAGGAAGGAGGTGCGACAGCAGGTAGGAAGAGACGCCGGCGCAAATAGAGCGGATTTACTATCGAACGGATGACCGTAGTGGCAGAATAAACTAGCTAGCAGAACATAGTCATGAAAAAGAGAAACAAATATAACGATAACACCCTTGCAGCCGAGCGCAGCGAGTTTTGAGCGGCCTCAAAACTTGAAAAGAGGACGGGTGCGTTACCTTGACAACGGCGCTAGCGGCCTTGCAGCCGAGCGCAGCGAGTTTTGAGCGGCCTCAAAACTCGAGAAGAGGACGGGTGCGTTACCTTGACAACGGCGCTAACGCCCTTGCAGCCGAGCGCAGCAGCGATCGAAACCTTCTGAAAGGCCTCCTCTGCTGACGTGGCGGCTGGAAGCTTCTTCAGCCACGCGCAGAGCTTGGCCGAATCGAGCGACGACTTCGAGACGACGCTCAGAAGCTTGACTGCCTGAAAGGTCTCCTTCAAACTGGCGGGATGACAAACCGTAAGTGGTGGAAAGGGAGAATGCGACGGCAGCGCATAATGAGACAGGGGACACTCGCGCGCTTGGTTTTGAGGCGCCACTGAACGGTCAGAAGATTCACTGCCTGAAATGTGTCCGTCAACCCGGGGAGACGAGAACCGGTAAGTAGTGGAAAGGGAGTGCGGGATTGAGCGAACGCTGAAAACGGTACGCGTTGTAATGGGAACACGCGATTGAAAGTAACGATTAGTTCACAACAATTTCGCCCTTTTCCCTCTGACGACAAGACGAGCAAAAGCGGCGCCTTTCGTCTCCCCAGCAACCATAGACTGTCATGGTCATGGTTTAACTCATACTCTGATTCATGAGATCTGAAACAGAGATGTTGCATCCATCGTTCTCGACGGAAAACACGAGGGTGTAACATGGTAACCCGCAGCTCTGGTAATCTACAGCCGGTTTAACTCATGCTAAACCAATCGCTGATCGGAACATCCAACCATGTAAGTCCAACAACCAACGGAATGTTCTTATACGGTCATGAACGATCCAATTGATGGAAAACGGAAAATCTGAAGCCTTTCAATCTAGTAAACACGACACGATGATCTAATGCCGTCCGACTAATGCCACTTATTCTACACAAAGGAAAGATATATAGATTCCAGCTGACGAACGAGCCATCTTCGGAACGGATGGAACCAGAATGCCTTCATAGTTGACAGAAAAGACGCACTGAAGATTGACAACGACGAGGAATTTACGTCTATTTCGAGAATATATGAGGTAATTAGCGTCAAATCTCACCTGCCGTAGGAGCCGTCTTCCAGCGGAACTGCGAGAGTCTTTGCTGCTTCCACGGTTGCTAACGGCGAGGCATTGACGATAGCCACGCAAGATCCGGCGAAGACGAGGGAGATAATAGCGAGGATGGCCATTAATCCGCGCGATGCTGCACACATGGCACCAGAACGATGTTTGAAAACCGTCACCGGATGTGAAAAAGGTGTTACGGAGAACTCTAAAATAGCCCACGCAGTCCAGAATTTTGACTTGATCCCGAGCACGCGACAGCGAGATCTGGTGAGTGAATCTACGACGACGGAAAAAAAGACGCGCGAAGGCACTAATGATCTGGGAAGCCTACCTGAAGCAGTCGCCATGGCTAGGGACAGCGACCAGAGGATGACACGAGGAATTTCCTAGACAAGACCGAGAGATCCAGAATTTGAGCCTCGAGACTGCCTTCTGGTCGACCAAGTGCCGGAGGAGCGGATCAGCGATCAACGAAAGAAGGGTAGGATGGGAAAGATGGTTGGAGGTTTGTGTGAACACTTCATTACAAGAACTGTGTTACAGCTTCTGAATCAAGATATGGTTCATTGAGACTTTTATTATCAAATGCTGAGCCAAGGCTCACACTGTATCAGTTTTGAAGTAAACATTTGTGTGATAAACACAGAGCACTACATTAGTTGTAACGCACTAACTTGAGCTCCCAAACTTTGAAACCATGGACCGAACCAGCTAGCAGGGCACCTGCAGCACACACGCAGAGAAACATCAATCCATCCAGCAGAGGAGGCAAGCAGCTACTAGCAAATACTTCACACAAAACACGATCCCATCTTAAGACCCAGTTGTTCCCCTCGAAAAACTGAATGAAAGCATGATCCCCTAACAAGAATGATGCACGTAGACTAGGAAGGCCTAGAAGGCAGTTTGAGATATGGAGAGGGCGTTAGCTATGTGGGTACTATTGAAGTGCACCCAAGCTACTTGAGCTAAGGTGCTCCCCCCTCCCACCAGCACATTCATCTCTCCAGCTCTAAGCTTTGGTCTGTGCCACACGAACATCTCTTAAGGCTATCAAAAGCTTGATAAGAGGGCCTCAGAGACCATTTTGTGGCAGCGATTAATTGCACTTTCTCAATCAGTAACCGGTAAACGGCTCATCCTTCAGCGGGGTTCAGGTCTCTCACCTCTTTTGTTCATGTGGCTGCTTAATCAGCGGATGGAAAACATTAACCCAGAAATCTGACAGACAGCTGGCACTGCAGCAAGCTCAGAGGAGAGCGCGCGCTCGGAAGCACACAGAATTTGAAACAGGGAGGCAAGCGCCTGCATGAGACAATACATGTTACAGAAACTCGTGAAAAAAACTACCAAGTTAGTCTTTACTGGAAGGAATATATGGACACGAATACACGCGGATGTTCCATGCGAGAACGTCCAGGCAGCACACAGGAGGCTGCGGCTGGCCTAGCAAGGAAGAGCGGTGGTCGATCCAATCGCAGGTGCTTCGAAAAAAGGTAGGAGTCTTAAGGCGGAGGCACAAGCCGACTGCAAACAATCAAGACGGATAAAGGGAACAGGTAACGGAATAAGGTACAAATCACAGACAGCGGAGAGTGCAGCAGAAACGGAAGTGAACGTAAGGAATGCATTGTAAGTTACCATATTACGTCGTAGCGTCAAGTGGTTAGTCAACGCTTCACGTGTCATAGCAAGTAGTGTCCATACGTGTCCTCATCACGCTGACACCCGTTCACATCATGGCTACGGAACGACAGTCGTCATAACCACCTGGCGAGGTGAAGGGCTAGAGAATGGCATTCTGACCATGAGTGGCTGTGTTTTGAGGTTGGTATGTCATTTTTTTTCATGTGAGCTGAACGTGGTTAGTACACTATTGGGTATGTTAGAAGTGTCTCCGTAGAAGATGAAGGAAAGGTGATCGAGGAGATGTAGAAGATAGGTTATGTGCTACTGTATTGGAAGAACTCTGTTCACTCTCCTCTGCAGCACAAGCCGTGTTGACCACCTGTACTGTATCGCGTTCCCTCCGACAGCCAGTTGCGATGCGATCTCCTGACCGCGAAACTCGCAAACCTTGGGCACATCGCCTGTGGCCGTGCCACACAACCCTTTTGTCCTCAGTCAGATCAATCGGCTTTTGACCCTTTTGTCGAAACTGCTTCTGAACCTTGGTGTTGGAACTTGGAAGGTACTGTCGTAAGCTTGATATATTACCTGTGTACCACTTCTTATCGCACTGAAACAAACAATGCCTTGTGACAACCAGTTCTTGACAGTCCAGGCTATAACTCAAAGTTTCGAAAACGGCCAGCGGAGTTATCTAGGTTGCAGAGATTCTAGAGGCTTCTCTGTGACACAAAGTTTCGAGTACCGCCAGCGGAGTTCTAGCATTGCTCCATGCCACTCTGGTCTTGTCTGTCTGTCCCTCGGGAACAATGTGGTCTGCTGCTGCTTGGTGCTGGTTCACAATGTACTGTATTGCTACAAGCACACCTTCGAGACTTGTAGGTGCTTCTCTTCTCTCCTCTCCTCTCCTCTCGTCCCTGCCAATCGCGCCAACATCGTTCCCTTGCTAGAGTCTAGACAACAATCTGGTGTTCTGTGACTGGGCTCCAATCATCCGTGCTCTGACCTTACCAAGAAACGCGATATGAGCGGGAAGAGCGAGAGGCACGCGCGCGTCTAGGTTGACTAGTATCTTCATCCTGCCTCCATTTCGCGCTGCCTTCGCTTATACCACCAATCCTACCTCTCAGAATCCATAACGGGTTCTTTGCTTACTCAATGTTCCTTCACCATATTTCTCGCTTTCGTTGACCACAATAATCGTAATCCTCAAAGCCCATACTATCTCGAGGCAACTCATTGTGTAGAACTGTAATGCTATCTCAGACACGCTGGCCTGTACTCCGTCTGTTCATTTTTTTTTCCGTCGCCTATCCCGTCAACGACTTTCCGTCAACTAACTCCAGTCAACAAAATCTCGTTCGCTTTTTGACTCGCCAAAGTCCTACAGCCTCTCGTGCAGTGCCTGACGCATTTTACGGAAGTCGCTGCTGAGTCACCATCCGCGTAACAGCTCACCTCACGTGGCGTCGCCACGTCGGATGCGTAGGTGTACGCTTTAGGTTTCGGCCATATCGCGAAACCTAAGGACCTCATTCGTAGCCTGGACTCTAGTTTCTGGTTCCAAGAAGTTTCCTAAGCAAGTCGCCAAGAAACCGGTGGAATAACGTGGAAGCGGGATAGTCTAATATAGCTGGATACTCTAGCCAATAATAGCCGATACTGTAGCCGATTGTATTCGATAGTCCAATAATCGGTCCTTGGTCACTGTTCTCATGTTTCCGCATCGCGGCAGTGCAGCACCAACCGTCCCGCCATTCCTCTCCGCCCCCCCGCCCCACTCCCAAGCCCCCACCATGTCCCTCGAGCCTCTCACTCTCGCGTCCCTCCTCTCCCTCCCCGTCGAAGCGGTTTCCGCGAAGCTTCGCTCCACGCCGCCCGCGCATTTGGAGCAGCTGCGCGTCTCGCTATGGGACATCCTCGGCACGCCCGACCGCAAGCCGGAGTTCCTCTCCCTCCAGCGCCTGCTTATAACGCGTACGGGCGCCGGCGCGGGCCTTTCCACAGAGTCCCTCTCCCGCGCGCACTACACGCATCTTAAGATCCTCGTCGCGGTTCGGACCGGCATCCAGGCGTTTCTACACCCCGATATCGCCATCCCGCCGACGTCTTTAATCGAAATCTTCCTCCGCCGCCGCTGCCAGAACATGGCCTGCCAGAGCCCGCTTCCCGCGGGCGGCTGCCGCTGTCGTTTCTGCACGACGGGCAACGGCGAACCGGGGGGATCCGGCCGGGCGGGAACAGACGGGGGAGCGACAAATACCGCCGGGATTTCCGGTACCACCAGCGCCAACACCACCGGTGCTGTTACCAGGGGTAACTCAGGGGCAGGCACTAGCGCTGGTATTGCTTCTAGCACGGAAATTGGCGGGGGATTTTGCAATTTGTGCATGTGTGTCGCATGCGGGAAATTCGATTTCGACACCAACACGTGTCGGTGGATCGGATGCGATTTTTGTCTGCATTGGTGCCACACGGATTGCGCGCTCCACATGGGGTTCGTGCGCCATGGCGCAGTGGGGGCGGGGGGAAGCGCGGGGGGCGCGGGGGGAAGAGGCGGAGGGCAGGCGGGCGGGGGGGCTGCGGAGGGCTCCGCGGACGGGGCGACGGCGGCGACGAGTGCGCAATTCGCGTGCCCCGCGTGCGCGCGGTCGTCGGAGCTGTTTGGGTTCGTGCGCGACGTGTTCCGCCTGTGCTCCGCGCAGTGGGACGCGGAGGCCGCGCGGAGGGAGCTGGAGTGCGTGGGGGGGATCTTCGGCGCGAGCACGGACGCGCTCGGGCGCGAGCTTGCGCGGAGGGCGGCGCTGGCGCTGAGGGAGCTGCGGGAGGGGCGCAGGGCGTGCGCGGACATTTGTCGCGACATGCAGCTTTTCTTCGCCAGCAGTGAGTGGGGTGGGTGACGTTTGGGGTGGGTGTCGTTTGGGGTGGGTGTTGTTTGGCTTGCTTGTATCCAAGCCGCCGCTTACAGAAGGTTAGGACGCGGCACCTGTTTTCATTTTACAAGGATCGTGGCCTCACATCGATCTTGGCATATAGATCGGCACACCGATGTGCCCACACTGCAAATTTGCAGTGGGGTAGACACATCGAGCTATAGGTGCCAGGATCGAAATTGCAGGCTCGGGCAGGTTGGAGCTGCCATTACACTTAAACGCGCAGCCAATCAGGGCAGAGCGTGGATGGTCGTCCAGCAATTCCATTCGCAGCGACTCAATATTTTTTGGCCTGCGACCGTGGGCGACGCCGATCGATCGAGGCTGTCACCTGTGGCGCGATATGCTCTCCCGCCAACCTTAACGCATGCACCACGGCACATCGATCGTGCGAGCTGCAGGTGCCACCAATTTGGGTACCCGTTCACTGTACATTCTCGACGTTTAGCGAAGTACGGATACCAGGCATTGGCGATGTCGCCAATACACTGTACAAGCGGCACATCGATCCCCTCCCACGATCGATCCTGGCAAAATGAAAACAGGTGCCGCGTCCTTACATTCAGGGTTTGTGCGGCGCTTGGAAGTTAGGGTTAGGGTATGCTTGCCCTCGTGTGCTCTCTTCTTGCTCTGACAGGTGATACGCTGTCCTGATCTGCTGTGTCGCATCAACTCACCACTGTTGTTCTGATTCGTCTCACTGTCGTTTACCTTTGCCTTTTGCCATTACTCACTTGCTTCCTGCATCCGGCTCGACTGTTTTCGCCATCACCATCCCTTCGCCCTGCAGACGCCTCGTTCGTCCTCTAGTCTCCCCACTTGTTTTTGCTTGCTCTCTAAGGTGCCCTTTTCTTTTCCGCCTTCCCCATCCCTTCGTCCTGCAGGCGCCTCGTTCGTCCCTGCTCCTCCCAATCCTGCCACCCCCGCCGCTTCAGCAGCTTCTGCTCCTCACCCTCCCCCAACAATGGCGGCGCCCTCCCCTGCTCCTCCCGTCGCCGCATCTGCTCCCGTTGCTGCCCCTCCTGCTCCTGCTCCTCCTCCTCCTGCTGCTGCTTCTACTGCCGCTTCTCCCATCCCTTCCATGGGCCCGGTTGCCTCCGCCACAGGCTCGGCCAGACCTGCTCCCGGGCTTCCCGGTCCAGGTTCGGGCCATACCAGACCCAGCTCCGGTCCCACCGCGCCCACGTCAGCGCTTTCCAAACCTCCGTCTCTGCCTCGGTACCAATCCAGCCTGGAAGCAGCGCGAGAGGCTTTGGCGGAATGCCATAGGGACGTTCTAGGGAAGCGGAAAGAGGCAGCGGCGGTGGAGGAGGAGCGAGCGCGGAAGAAATGGCAGGTGCAGGAGCTAGAAGCGGTTGCTGCGTCGCGATTGGCCGACGCGGAACGTATGGAGAGAGAAGCGGCGGAGGCGAGGAAAGAGGTCGAGGTGCTGAAGATGATTATTTCAGTGAAGAAAACTACTTCGGAGGAGGAGTTTCGGCGGAGAGGGGTGGATTTGGCTTTGGAAGAGGCTGAGGCTAAGTATAGGAAGATGCTGGGGGTTGTGCAGGCGTTGGAAAGGGAAGACGGGCAGGGGGGGGGTGAGAAGGCGAAGGAAAGGGAGAGTGAGAGAGAGAGGGAGGGGGAAAGGGAGCGAGAGAGGGGAAGAGAGAGGGGAAGAGAGATGGGAGGTGAGGTTTCGTGGCCGCAGGTGCCTGATCAGAACAAACAGCAGCAGCAGGCTCAGCAGCAACAGCAGCAGCAGCAGCAGCGACAGCACCAGCAGCAACAGCAACAGCAGCAGCAGCAGCAGCTGCACCAGATGCAGCAACAGCAGCAGCAGCAGCAGCATCAGCAGCAGCAGCAACAACAACAGCAACTCCATATTCAGTTTCAACAGCAACAGCAACAGCAACAGCTACAACAGCAGCACCGGAATCATTTTCAGCAGCACCATCAGCAGCAGCTGCAGCAGCAGCAGCAGCCCAATCAGCAAAACCAGCAGCACCAGAACCAATATCCGCTGCAGCACCAGCAGCAACAGCGGCAGCAGCAACAGGCGTGGCAAATGCAACACGCGATGCAGCAGCAGCAATCGAGGATGGGTGGTGGGCCTAGTAACGAGCCTCTTCCCAACAGCAACCAAGCGCTCACACGAGGGGCAGCACCCTACGGAGCATCACAGATCCCACCAGCACAGGCAACACAAGGAGCACAAGCAGTGCAAGCAGCACCGGCGTTGCAAGGAACACGAGCAGCACCCGCGTTACAGGTAGGGCAGGTAAGGCAGCGAGCGGATGAGCAAGGAACAGCAGAGAGGGCAGCAACAGCTCAGCAACTTGCAGCTCAGCAGGTGGCTGAAGAGGTTCAGACGGCCAGACAGCTAGCCCGACAGCAAGTCGCACAAGAGCAGCAGAAGCAGCAGCAGAGGCAATTGCAGCAGCAGCAGCAGTATAGGGGGGATGACGGGAAAAGCAGTGGGGGGAGGAGGTTGGGCGTGGAGTTAGGGAACGAAGACGGCAGGGGGGGTGACGAGGGAGAAGGAGAGGGAAGGAAGGAGAATGTTCCTTGGTGGAAGACGGAGGCTGGTAGGGGTGGAGAGCGGTTGACAGGCATGAACGAGGAGGCAGACGGGAATGGGCAGGAACAGCAGACTCAGCAGCGGCAGAATCTGCAGCATCAGCATCAGAATCAGCTGCTGCTGCAGCAAAGGCGATTGGATTTGCAGCAGCAAGGGCAGGGACAGGGGCAGGGGCAGGGGCAGGGGCAGAAGAAGCGGAAACGGCTTGTTTTGGACTTAGAAGCTGACACAGTAGAAGAACAAGAGGAGGAGATGGAGGAGGAGGAGGATGGGGGAACGGGAAGGCACCGTCCAAAGCAGCAGCTGCTACAGCCGCATGAGCAGAGCCTGCAGGGGAGAGAGGGGCAACGGGAGCAGCGTGAAGAGCAGGCGCAGTGGGAGCGGCAGGGGAGGCAGGAGCAGTGGGAACAGCAGGGGAGACAGGTTCAGCGGGAGCAGGAGCGACAGAGGGAGCAGCAGGAACAGCAGGTACAGCAGGGCAGGCAGGAGCAGCGGGAGCAGCGTGAGAGGCGGGAGCAGCGGCAGCAGGAGGGGCAGAGGGAGCAGCAGGGAAGGCGGGAGCAGAGGGAGCAGCAGGGAAGGCGGGAGCAGAGGGAGCAGCAGGGGCAGCAGTGGAGGCTGGAGCAGCGGGAAGAGCAGGAGCAGCTGGAGCAGCGGGAGCAGGAGGGGCAGCAGGTGCAGGAAAAGAGGCAGCAGCAACAGCAGAGCGTGGATCCGAGTAGTTATGAGAGCAGCAGGATTCAATCACAGTTTGATGCTGTTACAACGGCTGAAAGGCAGGGTGCGGAGGGGAGATATCTCACAGGGACAAATGGGGCAGCTTGGAGGGAGAAGGAGAAGGGAATGGAAGAGGAGAGGGAGAGGGGGAGGGAGAGGGAGAGGGAGAGGGAAAGGGAGAGGGATAGGGAGAGGGAGAGGGAAAGGGAGAGGGATAGGGAGGACAAGGAGAAGGAGAGAGAGAAGGAATGGGAGAGGGAGAGGGAGAGGGAGAAGGAGGGGGAGAGGGAGAAAGAGAGGGATAAGGAGAGGGAGAAGGAGAGGGAGAGGGAGAGGGAGAAGGAGAGGGAGAGGGAGAAGGAGAGGGATAAGGAGAGGGAGAAGGAGGAGGAGAGGAAGAAGGAGAGGGAGAGAGAGAGGGGGCGGGAGAGGGAGATAGAGAGTGAGAGGGAGAGAAAGAGGGACAAGGAAAAGGAGAATGATCAAATGGAGGTAGAAGACGGTGGGACCAGGAATCAGAGGCTCGAGGGGAGAGAAAGAGAGGGTAGTGAGAAGGAGAAGGACGAGGAGAAGGACGAGGAGAAGGAGAATGATCAAATGGAAGTAGAAGAATGCAGGTCGAGGAAGCGGAAGGATCAGGGAGGCAGCAGAGATAAAGCAGAAGAAGATGGAGACATCAGGGAGGGGAAGGGACGGGTGGATGAGAAGGGACCTGGGGGGGGAGAGAAGAATACCCGAATCCAGAGAGACGGGGGTCTGAGAGGCAATGAGTTGAAGACGTCCCAAGGAAACGAGCGTTCGGTAGGGGATACCCAAGAAATCAGGATGAGTTCAGCTCTTGCGAAGCCTGCGAAGCAACATGATTCACGTCAGGTTGAAACTGAGCCTATCTCCCCTGGGAGGCGTGGTGAAAGGGGTGTTTCAAGAGATGGGTTCGATGCGGTTGAGAGGGATAAGGAGAGGCAGAAGGAAAAGGTCAAGGATATGGGTGAGCGGAAGGAGAAGCATGGGCAGAAGGATGGGATGAAAGGTCATGAGGAGGGTCAAAAGACTGCTGCTGCTGCGCAAGAGGGGCGACAGGGGCAAAAGGGTGAAAAGGAGCGACAGGGGCAAGAGGGGGAAAAGGAGCGACAAGGGCAAGAGGGGCGGGAGGGGGAAAAAGGGGGACAGGGACGAGAGGAGCAAACAGGGCAAAAGGGACGAGAAGGGGGTCCGACAGATACTGAGGTGCGGGGACTGGCAGGTAAAGAGAAGGCAGATGAAGAGAAGGCATCTGGGGAAGGTACAGCTGGGGAAGGTACAACTGGGAAAGGAGGTGTCACTGAGAAGGAAGGTGCCTCTTCCGACAGCGATGTGGAAGAGGTGAAAGAGGAGAGCGGTGCAGAGCGGTTGAGTGAGAGAAAACGGGTTGAGGCAGCTGTTGAAGGAACAGCTGCTAGGGAGAAGGGGGAGAAGGGAAAAGTGGAGAGGGGGGAGAGGGAGAGGGGAGGAGCTGGAGGGGAGGGAAAGGGGGATGAGGAGAAGGATGGGAAGAGAGAAGGGGAAGGGAATGGGGGTTTAGCGGTCAAGAGAAAATCGAGCGCGGATGCTGCTACTGGTACTGCTGATACTGATGGTGGTTTGGATAAGGTAAGGCCAGGAGGAGTGGGGGAGAAGGAAGGTAGGGAGGTGAAGGAAGGGGAAAAGGGAAAGGGATGGGTGGGGAAGGAGGGAAAGGGAAGAGGAGAGTGAGTGAGGTGAGGAGTGTTACTAGGTAGAGAGAGTCGATGAATGTCAAACCAGATGATGCGAAATCTGTGAGAAAGGGAGGAATGGGGGAATGTCTAACCATAATTGTGTTTGCAGAAGTTTTTCTTTATGATGAGTAAGAGAGCTAGCCATGTGAGCAGCTTTTAAGGCATATGGGTTAGCGGAGAGCTTGAGTAACTAGAGGACTGTTTATGGTGTCTTATGTGGGGATATGGTAGATTGGTGATGTGTACTTAGCAGAATAGTGTCCGTCAAATGGGCGGGCTACTGGTTGTGATGTTACTGCTAGTTGGCACTCTAAATGGGCTAACTTGATAGGGCCATTTGGATATAAGGAGGTGTTTTATTAATAAACCCAGCTTGCTGCTCGTAGAGTACGTACATTCCTTATTCACTGTTCATAATTTCGCTAATTGTTCAGTAACATAATTGCTGTACTTACTGGTACCACAGGTTAGTGACCGGAGTGGTTGTACGCGATTGTGGCATCGCACGGGGAATACAGTAACAATGAAAACGCGCTCACTCCCGTCTCGTCTTTTTCTGATCGCTGCTCTCTCGATACTCACGCCCGCTAGGCTGCACGATCGTAATCGTATCTTTCGCGCCGTTTGCGGTATTAGTTAGACTGTTCTGGTCTCCGTATTCGCACATGCGAATTAAGTCGGTGCTATGGAATCTGGGGTTGCAGAGGGTAAGGAGGTAGGCGCGTTGGCGGTGGACGCCGCGCCGCGTGCGGCGGAGATTAAGGACGCGAAGGACCGCCGGTGGGATCGTAGCGAGATTCGCGGCATGTGGGAGTTTGCGTCGATACTTGATTTTTTCAGAGTAATAATTCGCGTTCATGCGTCGCAAGCGTAGGACATAAGCGTCGCCGTTGATTTCACGGTTGAATTAAAAAACAGGACTTTCCGCGGTTACCGGCACTTGGTCGCGTTAGTATGATAGCATGAGAAAAAGTTGCAGAGTCTTCCTTTTTGTAACGGTAGATCAAAATTATTTCATGCGCCATATCAGCTTCCCGTCTCCAAATCCTTCTGCGGTGAACGAGCTTAAATGGCGATTCGGGATCTCTCGCGTCGCGTTATTCGCGCCGCGATCATCGAACCATGGCCTCTGCCTCACTCGCGTGTCTTCACTGAGTATTCCCCGTAATCCTCCTTCGCAATATCCTCATATACTTCATGTCTCTCCGATCCTGCTCAAATCCATTACGTTTTTTTCCCAGATTTTCCGGGAGCCGCTACAACTTAACATCGACGCTACAGCCGAAGACATCGAAACGGCTCTGCTAACCCCGGACCCGTCTCCACTTCTTAAAGACATACACATTACGCTTCTTAAGGTGACTAGGGTTTGCTCGCAGCGCCACGCGACTTGGCATCACTGGCCTATGGCGGCTCGTAGTCGCGTCGAGCATCCATCCTAACGTAACGCAACGTTATTTCCTTTTCGTAGCGCTTGTTCGGTTGACGGAATCCGTTAGGGTTAGTCGGCTTACTGTAGGCGGCGCTCAGCATCTGCTGTCAGCTTGTCGACGCTTTTCAGTAGAGTGGTTACCTTTCGGCAATTTCTGTGTTTCGCCAGTGGTTTCATTTCGCAAAAATCATTGTTTCTTCAGGCATTCAGGCACTCCGGCATTCAGGCATTCAGGCATTCATGCATTCATGTATTCATTCTTTCGGGCATGCAGGCATTCAGGCGTTCAGGCATGCAGGCGTTCAGGCATTCAGGCCTTCAGACATTTAGGCATTCAGGCATACAGGCATACAGGCATTCATGCATTCAGGCATTCATGCATTCATGCATTCAGGCATTCATGCATTCATGCATTCAGGCACTCATGCATTCATGCATTCAGGCATTCATGCGTTCATGCATCCATGCATTCATGCATTCGGCATTCAGGCATTCATGCATTCATGCATTCAGGCACTCATGCATTCATGCATTCAGGCATTCATGCGTTCATGCATTCATGCATTCATGCATTCGGCATTCATGCAGTCAGGCATTCATGCATTCACGCTTTCATGCATTCATGCATTCACGCATTCAGGCATTCATGCATTCATGCATTCATGCATTCAGGCATTCATGCATTCAGGCATTCATGCATTCAGGCACTCATGCATTCATGCACTCATGCATTCATGCATTCAGGCATTCATGCGTTCATGCATTCATGCATTCATGCATTCGGCATTCATGCATTCACGCTTTCATGAATTCATGCATTCACGCATTCAGGCATTCATGCATTCATGCATTCATGCATTCAGGCATTCATGCATTCATGCATTCATGCATTCATGCATTCATGCATTCAGGCATTCATGCATTCATGCATTCATGCATTCATGCATTCATGCATTCAGGCATTCATGCATTCATGCATTCATGCACAGCATAGCACTTTTCATGGAGCGCCCACATGTCGCTCGTCCCAGTTCATGTTTTGACACGGGAACATTGATCTGAGCCAACTGCTCCGCCCCACCCCTTTCAGGAACTCAGGCTATAAGGCATTCAGGCATTCACTCATCATGGAGCGCCCACATGTCGCTCGTCCCAGTTCATGCTTTGACACGGGACCAGTTAAAAAAACTTGGACCAGGAGCACTGAACTGATCCGCTCCGCCCCACCCCTTTCTCCCGCTCCTCCCGTGCATGCAGGGCATTCAACCGTTCAACCGCCCGCCAGCCGACCACCGCACATGGGCCACACTTGTGTGTCGTCCCCTCTGCCATGCTCTCATCTCTCCCTCCCTTCTGTCCCCCTCCTCTTCTACCCTTGCAGGGCATTCAGCCATTCAACCGCCCGCCAGCCGACCATCGCACATGGGCCACTCTTGTGTGTCGTCGCGTGCACAACACATGGCCGCAGGTAGTTAGGGGTGATCAAGAATGCGTGATGATGATGATCTTGTTGCATGCGGAATGTTGTATGTTGCTTGCTTGCCATTCATGGGGTACACTTGTGTGCCGTCGCGTGCACAACACATGGCTGCAGGTAGTTATGATGCATGCATGCCATGCCATGCCATGCCATGCATGAGTCAAGGGCTACTGTTGTGCACCGTCACATGCACAACACATGGCCACAGGTAGGCATGAATGATCCATTTATACATGCCATGTGTGTGTGGCCCATGAAATCATGTGCATTGCACAAGATAAGGCTGCAAGTCAAGCATGATGAGATATGATGCATGCATACATGCCATGTGTGATGCATACATGCCATGTGTGATGCATACATGCCATGTGTTATGCATACATGCCATGTGTGATGCATGCATGCCTGTTGAGTTTGCACCGCACAAACAACACGTTGCAGCAGATACAGCATACATGCATGAAGTGTCTGCCCCTCCTTGCATCTAAATGAAAACCATTCCCACTCCCCACAAATGTGCACGTGTGTGTGTGTGTGTACGTGTGCGCGCACGTGCGGTGTGTGTTGCCGTTGCGTGCACGCATGTGTGTGTGCTTGTTTGTGTCTGTGAATGCATCCCTACTTGTCTCCCTAACCAGGTTGCACCGGGGATTTGCCCTCTCTATTCCTGTCAGGGGTAAGTGCTTTTGTACTTTGGCTTTGTACACACACCCTTCAACTCCTGCTCCTGGTGGGGCTTGCTTCTGCTCCTCCTGCTCCTCCTGCTCCTTCCGCTCGTCTCATAAGGAACAGGGGGCATGTGCCCGCCCGCCTCGCATGTGCCACACGTCTATGATGCTGCAGGGATTCTTTGAGAATTCTCGCAGGGCTTTGAGGAATCCCTGGGGTGGGGCATGCGCCCGCCTCGCATGTGCCCACACCTCTTCCTGTGTGCCCGCCTCTCCCCCTTATGGACCCTATCCCCACTCCAGGGCTGAGGCAGAGCTCTACGCGTCTCTCCCTCCCCCTGACCGCGTGCGCATCTTGAAAGCTCTCTGCGAGATTCGGCTGGATGTGAGTAGACAGACAGACACTTGTGCGTGCGTTGGGCGGAATAGGGAGCTGTGTGTTGAATAGAGCTGCTTAGGTGACTTTTGAGTCGACTCAAAAGTGACTGTGCGTGCGTTGGGCAGAATAGGGAGCTGTGTGTTGAATAATAGAGCACCTTACAGTAGAGAGGCATTCAGTAGGGAGGCAGGCGCTTTTCCAGTGGTGGTAGAGGCTGGCTGCTATGAAGAGGAACCTTGAGTATGAGTCGAGTTTTGAGTCGGCTCAAAACTCGACTCACTACACGCTATGAAGAGGAACCTTGAAGGGATGTGCTCTTCCCTCCCACCCCCTGATTGCGCGTGCATCTTGATTCCTGACAGGTGGCCTATCAACTCCTCTCTATTTCCCTCCCTCACTCCCTGCCTCCCTCCTGCTGCTACCCATACCCCCCCCCCCCCCCCCCCCCCCCCCTCACCACGCAGCAAGAGGACACTCGAGTGGTGGTAGAGGCGGCCATGAAAAGGAATCCCGATGAGATTGGTGGCTTATTAACTCCTCTCCACTCCTCTCTACCTCTCTACTTATCCCCGTCCCCACACTGCACAGCAAGAGGACACGCGAGTGGTGGTAGAGGCGGTCATGAAGAAAAATCCCGAGGAGATTGCTGCCCTATCCCCTGGCTCCCTCTCGGACCCTGCTGTACCCATCCCCACCGCGCAGCAAGAGGACACTCGAGTGGTGGTGGTAGAGGCGGCCATGAAGAGGAACCTTGAGGAGATTGGTGGCTTATCCTCTAGCCCCTCTGTATCCCTCTCGGACCCTGCTGTACCCATCCCCACCACACAGCAAGAGGACACGCGAGTGGTGGTAGAGGCGGCCATGAAAAGGAATCCCGAGGAGATTCGCATGGAGCCGTTTGGCATGGACGCCAACAACCACGTGTTCTGGTGGGTGCATCGTGGTGAAATGCGGTGAAGTGCGGTGCAGTCCATCATAGAAAAATGCGAGTTGAGGTTCCTTGTATTCGGGGTTCTGCAACGATTCTGTCCTGGGTGACTCGGTCACCACCTGTCCAAAGTGGGCGGGCCCACCTTTCTATCGTTTCGCACAAGAGGAGGCTGACACTGCTGCTGCTTCTGCTGCTGCTGCTGACTCTTCGTTTCTTGTGTTATGTTGTGCCCAATTTCAATCGTACTTGTCAACATTCAGGTTTTGCAATGACTCTGTGTTGGGCCATCGCCTGTTCAAAGAGGGTCCACCCGTTTTCATCACACAGGAAGAGGCTGACGCTGCTGCCGCTGCTGCTGCTGACTCCTGCCTTTTCTTGTGCTTAACTCCCATCCCATTCTGCTTTTCCCTCTCCCCATCAACTCCCTGCCGTCAGGTTTTGCAACGACTCAGTGTTGGGCCATCGGCTGTTCAAAGAGGGCCCACACGTTTTCATCACACAGGAAGAGGCTGATGCTGCTGCTGACTCTGCTTTTTCTTGTGCCCAACTTCCATCCTCCAGGTTTTGCAACGACTCTGTGTTGGGCCATCGGCTGTTCAAAGAGGGCCTACACGTTTTCATCACACAGGAAGAGGCTGATGCTGCTTCTGGCTCTGCTTTTTCTCGTGCCCAACTTCCATCCTCCAGGTTTTGCAACGACTCTGTGTTGGGCCATCGGCTGTTCAAAGAGGGCCCACACGTTTTCATCACACAGGAAGAGGCTGATGCTGCTGCTGACTCTGCTTTTTCTTGTGCCCAACTTCCATCCTGCAGGTTTTGCAACGACTCTGTGTTGGGCCATCGGCTGTTCAAAGAGGGCCCACACGTTTTCATCACACAGGAAGAGGCTGACGCTGCTGCCGCCGCCGCTGCCGCCACTGCTGCCGCAGCCGCTGCTGCTGCTGAAGCTGAAGCGGCTGAAGCTGCTGCTGCTGCTGCTGTTGCTGCTAGCGCGGCTGTTCCTGCACTTGCTGCTGATTCTACTGCTGTTTCTCCTGCAGAAACCGTAGCACTGGTGGTGGAAGGAGCAAAGGCAGAGAGTGCAAGAGATGCTGCCACAAGTGTTGGTAACGACAAAGCTAAAACAGAAGTTGCTGCTGTTAATGGAGAGGCGGTGGCAGTGATGGTGGAAGGAGCAAAGGCGGAGGCTGCAAAAGGTGCTGCCGAGAGTGCTGCTAAAGTGGAAGCTGAATCTGAAACAGAAGCTGCTGAGCCTACTCAATCGGCCAGAAGCGTCGATGATCACACAGACGCCACTGTTCCTGCAGAGACAGTGGCAGCGATGGTGGAAGGAGCAAAGGCGGGGGCTGGAAAAATTGCTGACAATAGTACTGCTAAAGCTGAAGCTGAAGCTGAAATAGAAGCTGATGAGCCCACTCAACCGGCCAGAAGCTCTGATGATCACACAGTCGCCACTGCTCTCATGCCTCGTGCGCCGAGAAGTGAGGAAGTGGCAGGGGCAGCAGAGGCAGCAACAGAGCGGCCAGAGGTGGCAGAGGTAGCACAGGTAGCAGATATGGCAGTGGTGGCAGAGGCAGAAAAGGCGGCAGAGGTGGCAGAGGTGGCAGGGGCAGAAAAGGCAGCTAAGGCAGCGACAGCAGATATTGCAAGGGTGTCTGCTAGTGCTGAAGCTGATGTGCCTGCCACACAGCCTGCTACTAGCGCTGATGTTACCAGCGCTGCTGCTACTGCTGCTGCTGCTTCTGATGGTGCAGCTGCTGCTGCTGCTGCTGCTGACGGTGCTGCTGCTGATGGTGATAATGCATCAGCGGCCAAGGAGGCCCCATCTGGCAAAGCTGGAGCATCTGAGCCGTCCGTTAGCCCAACACCAGCATCCGATCCCCTACAATCTGAACCACCACCCAATTCCACTCTCGAAGTCTCTGCTGCTGACAGCGTTACAGCGATCAGTGTGGTAACCAGATTGGGTGATGTGAAGTCGTGTGCAACTGGTGTTGAATTGATTCTAAAGTCGCCTATTGGGAGTCCCGACAATAAGGGTTTATCACGTGGGAACCATAGGGAGTTCTTGCGAGGAAATGGTAAAGAGTCGCAAGGAGATAGGGATTTTATGAGCGGCCTAGCCGCTATCGGTGGATTGAAGGCTTTAGTCGGGGTGAAGGCTGAGGAGGAGGAGGAGGAGGGGGGAGTGAAGGGGAGAGGAGGAGAGGAAAGTGGGGTAGGAGCGAAGGAGCAAGGGGTAAAAGCGGAAGAGGAAGGAAAGGGTAAAAAGGGAGACGAAGAGGATAAGGTGCTTGTGAGGAGAGGGGCTGGAGCGAAGGAGAATGAGAGGGTTTACAGGAGGCGAGGTGGCAGGGAGGCGGGTAGGAAGGATTGTGAGCGTGGGGAGGGGGGCAAGAGGGAGGTGAAAGGAGAAGAAGAGAGCAATAGAGGTGGCGTTGGTGTGGGTGAAGAGCGTGGAAGATACGAGGGAGAAGAAGAGGAGGAGGTGAAGGAGGTGAAGGAGGTGAAGGAGGTGAAGGAGGGAGAGGAGGAGACGAAGGAGGAGGAAGAGGAGAAGGATGCTGCTGTGATTGACTTAACTGACGCAGATCCCTGCATGCCTGCTCAAGGCGGCTCAGCTGAACCTGCTCAAGACCCCTCAGGCACCGCTGCTGCTGGAAAGGCCTCGGTTGTTGCTGGTAAGGCAGACTCTGCTGCCAAGGCAGATTCGAGCGCCCGTCCTACTCGCCATGGCATGAGCACGCGAACCAGGTCCGGCAGTCTCCGCCCTCCTTCCGCCTCCAAACCTGCTCCCAAGCCTGCTGCCAAGCCTGCTTCCAAGGGCACTCCCACCAAGGGTGGCAGCAAGAAGGGGAGAGGAGCCGATGCTGCTGCTGCTGCTGGAGGGGAGGGGAGGAGGAAGGCAAAGAAGAAGGCCAAACCAGTTTTCCTGCCACCTGTGTGTGGCGAGTTCGCCACTGCAGCCGTCTGCCTCACAGACTTCACAGCTCTCGCGGTGAGTCTGCAGAACTGCGTCCTTTAAGTGCGAAGAAGAAGGCCAGGCCAGTTTTCCTGCCACCTGTGCATGGCGAGTTTGCCACTGCTGCTGTGTGTCTCACAGACTTTACTGCTCTCGCGGTGAGTCACTTCACTCTGAGGAGATCCCTTTTCAAGGACCTCAATATTGGCCCGGCTGGTGTTCCTGCCACCTGTGTGTGGCGAGTTCGCCACTGCTGCTGTGTGTCTCACAGACTTCACTGCTCTCGCGGTGAGTTAGCTGGTACTTGGTTGGAGCTTTGAGTGTGCTGTGCTTTTCGTTAACTGTATTGAGTTTTATTTTGTGCATCTCAAAAGTTTACTCCAGACTTGAAGCCAATTTCACTGGATGATATGACTGCTTATTGGACTTAGAACATCAGTTTATACCTGTTTCTAATACAAAATCGGATCAGCTTATATGAGTTTCTTCCCTCCCGCTGCCTTCCTTGGCGTGCCTGTATCTGCAGGACGACCTCAGCGCCAGTGTGCATAACGCGGATCAGCTTATAGCGGATCGCTTGGCAGAGGAGGCCATACCTAAAGTGGAGCTAGAAGAGAAGGTGAGGAGGGAGGGACGGGATTGTTCTTTCACCCGCGCACTCTCACTGTCACTCTCACTCTCACTCATTTTCAATCACATGCTAATGTTATTTCAACACTCACCTCCCTCTTCCCTCTCCCTCTCCTTTCATGCCTCCTCACACCAGCACAAGGAGCAGCATGCAAAGAGGCAGCAGTGGCAGGCAGCACAGCAGGCAGTAGCCATGGCACAGCTGTATCCAACTCCTTGCTTTCTGCTACATACTTGTCTCGTCTCAATTTTTTAGGCGCCTAGAAAATGCATGGCACACTTGTATCCAACTCCTTGCTTTCTGCCACATACTCGTATCGCCTCTCTCTTTTTTTCCCTGCTCTCCCCTTCCCCCATCCGCACAAGGAGTGGCATGCGAAGAGGCAGCAGAGGCAAGCGGCGCAGCTGGCAGCGCAGCTAGCAGCTAAGTTTGTACCCGAAACCCTCTCTCTTCACTTCCGTTCACCCCTCTTCTGTACCCCCACCAGCGCAAGGAGCGAGAGGCAGCAGAGGCAGGTGGCGCAGCTGGCAGCCACTGTCACACTCGAACCCTTTCCCTGTTTTAAAAAAGCGGAGTGATTTGAGACGTCTCGAAACACTCCTTTCTTCACGTGGCAGCCACTGTCACACTCGAACCCTTTCCCTGTTTTTAAAAAACGGAGTGATTTGAGACGCCTCAAAACACTCCTTTCTTCACGTGGCAGCCACTGTCACACTCGAACCCTTTCCCTGTTTTTAAAAAACGGAGTGATTTAAGACGTCTCAAAACACTCCTTTCTTCACGTGGCAGCCACTGTCACACTCGAACCCTTTCCCTGTTTTTAAAAAACGGAGTGATTTGAGACGTCTCAAAACACTCGTTTCTTCACGTGGCAGCCACTGTCACACTCGAACCTAGGGTTGAGCAAAAAAACGAACACCTGTTCGGTTCGCCTCGAACACGTTCAAGGCGAACCGAACAGGTTTTTTTTTTTGGCTTAAAATGTTCGCCGAACAGTGTTCGATGTTCGCCCGAACACGTTCGTGTTCGGGCCGCTGCTGCAATTTGCCCGCGACGAACACGAACAGTGTTCGAGGTTCGCCCGAACACGCCTTCACAGGCGAACGGCGAACACCATTTTTTGCTCAAAGTGTTCGCCGAACCGAACAGTGTTCGGTTCGGCAAACGAAGGTGTTCGTGTAGGGGCGAACACGAACACGTTCGTGTTCGCCACTTGCTCATCCCTACTCGAACCCTTTCCCTGTTTTTAAAAAACGGAGTGATTTGAGACGTCTCAAAACACTCCTTTCTTCACGTGGCAGCCACTGTCACACTCGAACCCTTTCCCTGTTTTACCTTCTCTTCTCTTCACCTCTCCTCTGCCCACACCACCATCGCAGCGAGCGGCATGCGAAGAGGCAGCAGCAGCAGGCGGTGCAGCTGGCAGCCACTGT